CAGCTTCGAATTTCGACAGCGAGATGGCGCTGCGACACGCGTCCCCATAACGAAAGGGTTCGCAACTCACACCTCGAAACACCCCCCCGAATCACAACCACAAGAACAACTATCGTAGACACGATCCCTCCACCCTTTCATCCACCCTTTCTTCGCCCCATCCCGAAAGCCTCTTAACCAGAGAGTTTGTTGCAGGCAGACCCGACCAGTGTCGACCCCGGAAAGCTCTCCCCCCACAAAGTGAAGCACCAGGACCGTAGTCTGTCGGTGCAATCCTCGTTGCAGGACCAATTCGGGAGCAACACGTCACTGAGCTCGACCGGGTCATACGAGGGGTCCGACGAGAAACAGCATTCAGGTAGCAACTAACCTCCGGCCACGGCCGCACTGATCGCGGCCGTATCGGACGAGCCTCGATGCGAGGGAATTTCTATTAACGATGCGGTCTCGCACCCGCTTGAAGGTAAATACGGCATAGCGGAGCAGGAAATACGGGAGCAGGAACAGTGGCAGAAGCACAGGCAGGAAGAGGAGGATCTGCAACGGCTGATCGAGCAGAGGAGTCAGTATCAATCGATGAGGCAGGACGAGGTGCAACGGCAGCACGATGAACAGCTGATCAGAAGGCAGGAGGAGGAGTTGAGGAGGCAGGAGATGCAGGAGGAGTTCGAGAGGAGGCAGAAGAGTATGAAGAAGAAGAAGCAGGAGGAGGAGTTGAAGAGGAAGAGGGCTGAGGAGGAATTGAAGAGGCAAAGGGAGGAAGAGGAGCAGAGGAAGAAGCAGGAGGAGGAGGAGGAGTCGAAGAGGCGGAGGGAAAAAGAAGAAGAAAAAGAGAAGGAAGAAGGGAAGAAGGTGGAAGATGTGGCGAAGCGGGAGGACGAGAAGAAGAAACGATTGGAAGTGGAATTGAGGGACGAGGGAGAAAAGGAGAATTTGGAGAAACATCGGAAAGAGGAGGATCTGGGGATCAAGGTAGAAGATCAAGAGGAAATTCCTCAGAAGAGATTGAAAAGTGAAGAAGATGAGAAACGGCAGGAATTGGAGCAGCGATTAGTGGCGGCGATCGAAGATCGGGCTCGAGAAGAACCAATTGAATCAAAGGAAGAGGAAAAATTGGATGGACAGGTGGAAGAAGAGAGGCGAAAGCAGGAAGAGTTGTTGATACAACGAAAGGAAGAGGAGCAACGAAGAATTCGCGAAGAAAAGAAGATGCAATTACAGCTGGAGGAATTGAAGGCACATTGGACGTCGCAGCAGGAAGTAATGTTGAGGATGCAGGAGGAAGCGTTGCAACGGCAGATAGAGGAAACGAGATACGAGGATGAATGGGAGAGCAGACAATTCCAGCAATTGCAATTGCATATAGAGGGTCGAAAACCTGAGGCGGAGAAGAAGTTGGAGCAAAGACAGACAACGGAGCGAAAAAGAGGGAGGAAGAGGAAGGAGGAAAGAGTGGAGATTCGAGTGCACGAAGCTGAATCGCCGAAGCGTGAACAGCAACTCCAACAATCACAACTTGCAGATGGCGTTACTGGTTTCTACATAAAGATAGTCGTGAGACAGGAAGGCAGAGCCAATTTAGTTTGGTTGTTCAAAACGCACAAATTTTGAATGATTCTCGTTTCTCAACGTCTTCTTTTCTTGGCTTGCCACTTAAAGCAATTAAAGTTTATAATTAATCGATTATTTTCGAGAAAGAAGATTATTCCAAGGTATGACTATCATTTTTCGTATCGTTTAAATAATTTTTGTCTCATGAAAGAATTTTCACTTTACGTGAAACGAATCGTTGTTTTTTCTTTTCTTTCTTTCTCTTTTTTTTTTTTAATATATATTAATATAATTTTTTATCGTTGTATTATACACAGATATTTAAGATAAGTGTAAAGAGATGTTCACTCATGATGGTTGTTAAATTCAGACCGAATGTCTGTACGTAGATAAGATACGTGCTCATTGTTGAAATGAATTTAATAGAATACAGTTAAATCTTACTGCGATATATCGTTATTTTAAGGGTATTTATAATTTGTACAGTCTGTGAGATCTCTAAATTCAACCGGAGAATTATGAGTTCCGCTGCTCAAAAAGAAATTGTCAGAAAATTATACGCTCGAACCTATTTACCTATAATAAAATTTCCATTGTTAAAGTATCATTTACGGTATCATTTACGATTCGAACGATTGATTTATCCTAGGGAATTATCCGGGAAACTGGCAAAATAATTCTCCGATTGCTTCGAGCGGTGTATCAACATGAAACGTAACTGTTATCGACATCGATTTTACGAGTGTTAATTTTACAACTGACACGTTAACGACTACTTATATACAATAATTTACATACGTTGCCTGTCTCTGAATTCCCCGGCCACTTCTTCAATCTAATCATTATCAATTACGCGGTGTCACTCCACTAATGAAAGAACACGAGTTTCGTCGACATCAATCAAACTCCTCGCTTTCCTGTGAATCAAGTAACTTCATAATAACTTATTATTGCTCTCAGCCTCGAATTTTTTTTTTTTTTTATTCTTATAACGGCTGTTATAAAGCGATAAACTGTCTGAAATATATTTTACGCCAAGCATCTCGAACATCCATTTTGATCATTCGAAGAAAAAAAATCTATTTTTCTATTCTGTTCGCAAAATTGGACCATTTAACGTTAATCATTTCTCAATCATTTTTATGGTTAACGAATAACAATTTTTTTTTCTATCATATATGATTTTTTAAAGAAGATTCAAAATTAATTTTGAGGATGCGTGTCTTTGATTTGAATAAGATCATCTTCGTTTGTTAATGATGGATAATAATTATTGGAGTATACGTAAAAAAAAAAAATGTAAATAATATTAAAAATTTACTGTAAAATAAAAATTACGAAAAATTACTCTTCGTTATCGTATTATTATTTGTGACAAGAAAATTTTTATCAAAATCCATATATAACGGAAATAAATTAAAATGTTCGTGTTATATGGTCCATTCTATAGTATAGCGAGTATTACGATAAAAATTATCGAAAACGTCACAATAAAAATTATCGATCGTTAAGAATTAAAAAAAAAAAGATTTTATCAGAAAAATAGAAGATATCTTTCAATCGTGTATGCATACGTGAATCAATTTACTTGTAAAAGAAGAAAAAGCAACGGTAAAAAAAAGTAAGAAGAAAATAACGTTATTGTTGAACAATTTTATCATATCCATTAAAGGAACTGCAAAAATTGAAAATATATTACATATTACATATTATGCATATAATAATATAATATTAATATATAACGATATATTGTATCAAAGAAGAAATATCGTTTTTGAGAGGCAAGGTGTTCGAGAGCTATGGTCGATGATTTGACAATGATAAAAGATTCTACGAAAAATAATCGTATCTCCCTTGCTATTCCAATTTTATTTCCATGTTTCTGGCTTTTGAAAATCAGCACTTTTTAAAATGAAAAACTTGACAAGAATTATACTTCAACTTTCGTACAAAATTCAATTTATAGATTTGTAAACTCGTCACGTTTTATTTATTAAATCTATTAAAAATTTTTTTCTATATTATTGAATCTTATTATATTATTATATTAATGTAAAAATTATTGGAAAATTTATTTGTCTTCTTTAACATAATTGAAATTCGTAAGATCTCGTTGATAATTTTGAGGTTATATTATTACTTTTCGTCACGATTACGATTGATAATATCGTTGTTGATGCATGAATAATTTTACACGACTGTGAAGCTCTTTAATCGTACTGACTCGCATCCACTTGCATTCTTGCAACGAAAATGTGTTTATGAAACTGTGAATATATATAAAATAATAATTAAGTAATCATGCAGCGGGAGGAAAAGTGTTCTCGATAATGATTTCGAAATTATTTTTCTTATTTTACCTTAACCCCCACTTAACATTCTCTTATATTTCATTCATTATATTTATAAACAAACAAATTATATAATTTCTTTAGAAATTGTAACGATATTTTATATATATAATTTTCTTACACACGACACATAACAATAAATAAACTAATGAAATAATCACACGAAATAATTAAAACATTATATTTTCATTTTCGTACGAATATCGAAGAAATCATTTTCTACAAAAATATCTCGATTTCCAACTAAAAAGAAAAATATATACACGTATATATATTCTAAATTACACTTTCATACTTTTTTCTAAAAATACGTATACAATTTATCAGAGAGAGAGAGAGAGAGAGAGAGAGAAAATTATTCAATTTCTTCCTGTTAACATTCTTCTTCCTAACTGCCGCGTTTAAGCTAATTGTTTAAGGAAAAAAAAAAAAAAAAAAAAAGAAAAAAGACGAAGCAGAGTATCTATTGAACGTTGTTGATGTAATACTCAGCATTGGTACAAAGCAGAACGACGACTCATTGATTCGCCGAACGCTGTGTCCACGGTACACGCGATCAGGGAGGGGAAAGAATATTGTACAAAGCGAATAATTTAAACGTTAAGACGTAATTTTATTCATGTTGAGCGAACGTGTCTTTGCGAAATTGTTTCGAAGAAAAACGAGTTAGTTGCTACCGATTCGCAAAACGATGCGCAATCCTCGTGTGTTGAGTCAAAACCGATGTATCTATGTAAATTATTAATTGTGACGATTATCGTGCGATTCGTGTTTTATGTATAATCGAAAATTGTTTCTCCAAATGATAATTATGTATGTACGTTGAAAATATAATATATAATTTAATTCATCTGTTATAAGTTTATCAATTGACGTTTGTCGATTAACCGAAAGCATTTTCTCCACGAATTTTAAGTTCAATCGGCGAAAAGCAACGATAAATCTTAATTTCAAGAAAACTTGAAGAAATCTCCGCAACATTGATACTTTCATTTCATATCGAACTCGATATAAGAAGAACATGTGACGAGTACATATTATTGTTTAGAAAAACAAGAAATTTAGGGAAAGGTTAGAAGAAAAATAATTCTGCATCGATTTCGTCGTTCTCCTTTCGTACTGTTGACAATACTTTAATCGTATGGTATACATACACCTTCTATCTCAGGCTAAATGTAAAATGATATATACATACATAGTATATAGGATTATATATATGATAAAAATTATTAGAAGATTGTAATCTATGAGTGTATTGCCTCTCTGTTTCACGGTGATTCGTGAATTTGTAACGATATTTAAAATGTGTCATACAAAATATAGTATTACTAATTATAATTTATATAATTCTTCTTGAAGGAATAATTAAAATTATTCAAAATTAATTTGCAAATAATTGACATGATTGATGGATTTATTTACAAAATAATGTACGTCAATGTAATTTATTGAAAAACTTTGTTCGAGATTGATTCCACTGTTAAGAACTACAATTAATGATTTTTATAATTTATGCATTTTCTTTTTTTTTTTTTTTTTTTTATAAAAACTTATACAGCCTTTCAATAAGTTTCAGAGATCAACAAAATGGACGTCACACCCTTCTCGAGTATCACTCAAAAATAACACGTATCATTATAAAAATTACAATACCAATACGAAAATTTTTAAAAAAATTTTTAAAAAACTTTTTAAATTACAAAGCTGAGATAACAAATAAATTTAAAAAAGAAACTAATAACGAACGAAAGATGGACGTATATAAAACATTATATTCGCATCCCTTGCAAATTCTATCTCCATTACTGAATATAAATTGTTCGAATTGTTCGAGACGAAACTTTCACAAAGTTTTCAATGATATTTCAATCTCGAATCGAGGTATGAAACAAATTGCACACGTTGATAATCGCGTAAAAAAAAAAGGAGAACAACGGAACCATGCATCAAAAGCTAAATCGCGCCAGTGAACCGTCGCTGGAAAATAATATTTTATCATCGTCGCGTTGTATAAGCGGTGCTCAGTTGCATAAGTGTCAAGAGTATATTTATGAATGTGGCGTAGCCCATTTAAATCTGTGTATCGTTGTCTGTCTGTGCGCATCGTTACTTCTGCTGTTTTGTACTTAAGGTGTGTGTACAAAAAAGAAAAAAAGAAAAAAAAGATCAACAAAATGATATGTCTGTTGAACATGGCGTCAATCACTCGTTATGACGTTATCATCGATCATATTTTTCGTGAAATTCGACCGATCGAATCGAAATTTATCGTCATTTATTTTATATTTTATATGGATCCGGATAAATTTTAATCGAGTCAATTTCTTTCGAAGAATTCCTCATTCCGAAGTAAATCCAATTCTTCCAGATTATAATATACATTTTGTAAATATTAAATATCGATTTTGTTCAAAAATGTGTAAAAGATCGAAAACATCGATTCGATCGATGGAAGAGAATTTCACATACATTATGATCGGTGCAATTCTATCTATAAAGTTCGATCTATCATGTTGTGATATTCTGTAGCCAAATGAGTTCAAAATAAAGGGAGAAGAGCGTGATGTCAAGAAGCCACGAACCGTGAAATCTATATATTATCCTTAAATATCCTTCGTTAAAGAATTCCTAAATACGTAAAATATTTATCGATTGTTCTTCTCAATTTCATAATGTTCATAAATTAAATTAGCCCCTCTCCTAATCCTCTAAGCATTTAAGCCGATAATATTTACATTCTTCTATTCTCTCTAACAGAATTTCAACGGATAGATAGAAGGTGAAAGATCAAGCAGAAGCACCTTTCGACTCTAAAAACCACTTCCTCGAGAGATTATGCTCGAACGGGGTACGTTGTTAAAAGCAACATATGGCAAGCGGTACCGCGAGAATAATTATATTTTCGACGTATTGATGACCGTGTGTGACGCAACGATCGACGGGAATTTGAGCGATCTATCGTGTAATCCTTCATTGATTTCTCGATATCGACGTTAATGATCCATTTAACGTATCTTTATCCTGTGATAATCGTCGTTCGAACGAATCCAGTTGTGGCCGATTAGAAGTAAATCTGCAACGGAATGAGCATGAGTAGGAAGGTAAGTGAAGCGGTAAAATATGTTATTATATCGTAAATATATATTTAGTTACTTTATGTTAAAAGTAGCTGTACTCGTTCGAAAGGCTTGACAGCAATTTTACACTCGAGTCGAATACGAGCAATTTTCTAGCCGGATTTATCGCGACAACCAGATTTATCGCAAATAGTTACAGTACTGTATAATTGAAGTGGGATAAATGTAAAATATTTTCCAGGTAATTGTAACTGTGCGTAATGACAGAGTTTCGAATAAATATGTAACTATGTTGTAAATATTAGAGGCACACATTCATGAACTGATAATACATATTCATGAACTGAACTCAAGAGGAAATGGCAATTGTTCGCTTTTTTTTTTCTTTTTTCAAGATTATGCAATGCAGAAATTCGAATGTAGATAAAGGTAATTATTATTCTTTCTATATATTTTCGTTTCTAATGTTATAGAGGCATTGTGCAATCTTAGAATAATATATCGGGTGTTCTAAGTCAGATGGAATATCTCGTTTAATTTTGAAATTGCATATTTTTGCAAAAGCACTGGATGGATGTGTTTAGGTGGAACGTATTTAGATTCTCAGTTCTCGATACGAAATATAAAAGTTTTGAGTAGAAAGTTGCTGTGTCAACAAAATTTAGATTTTAATACAGTTATCTAGGATTCGAAATATTAGACAAAATATACAATACGAGTAAATTATAATTGCAATGATTCCAATTAAATTCCAAAATGCAATTTTCACATACAAAAATTTAACTTGATTAAACATTACCCGATAATCGTAGAAATAAGATGAGATAAGTACGTTTTATAGATAATTATCAAGTGGATTGTTATTCATAACATAGAAAGAATAACGAACCTCTTCCAAACGTAGATCTCATATCGATATTAGATAAATATACGATAAACGATAATATAATGTCACTTTTATCTTGGGTAAACATATTAATGAAATTAAATATAATTAATCTTAGATAAATATACTAATTAATAAAAACAAATAAATATACATTTCCTCTCGCGTATTTTATTTTATATCTTTAAATTTTTATTATTATTATTATTATATTCCTTGTTATTAAAAAAAATTCCAAAATATTTTCAATTCCAGAATATTCATATCGGGTCAAAATTAATTAATCAGATTCGATTATATTAAACTTTACAAATGTAAACATTCATAAATTACCTCATCACAATCGGCACAATCGACAACCACGTTAATCTCCTCGATACCGAATTCAACAGAAACGTCACAAAATTTCCTTTGGAACGTATAACCTCAATCCTTCGAAATCCGGCAGATATCGATCAAGCCTGTTCGTTACGCATCCATAATCCATAGTAGACACGCCGATTATCTGAAAAACTCGTAAAACGGATTGAGTCGTCTGGAAACGATTATCGATCTTATCTATGAAACAGGCGTACGCGTATCCGAGGTGAAAAATATGCAAATGAGATACGCGAAAACCGTGGTTGCGAGCCAGTGGATCAGAACCAATGGGCTCCATTCATGGCGAAGGAGCATGGAGGAAGGAAGGAGGGGAGGGAGGGAGGAAGGGAGAGACGAAGGGGACGACGGTCGATGCTGATGACGTTTGGCATTAAAACGAGCGGCTCTCGACCGGTGCACTCGTCCGGTAGCGTTAATAAATGGGGGACATCAGCTTTTAATTACGCGCCTCGCTCGTAATTGTAACCCGCAGCGAAATCGTACGCTCGCCGCTCCTCTACTTTACAACGGTTTGCGACGATATACGAGCTGCGTTGATAACAGCCAACCATACGCTGTTCCCTGTTGCCTGGCTGATCCTTCGGTGAACCGATTAACGATCCCCTCCATAATTATGCTCCGCGAAGAGTGAGGCGCAGCCTGCTTCTTCCATCATTCGAAAATCGTTATAGGTGGGGGATTCAACAGGATTTTTCTTTTGAGGTGATGAATGGACGACTGTTTTGAAATACGAAAAAAAAATTTTTAATTTTTATATTATTCGAATGAATTTTTTAAAATTGTGATCTGTCTGCTTCGATTAATTTTCAAAAAAATTATTGAGTTATAGATGGGAGACTCTCATTTTCAACAATTTTAATTTTATTCTTAATATGAATGGATTGTTTTAATATTTCTTTTTTTTTTTTTGTGTTATTTTTATATATTTATATATATATTTTTTTTGCATCGAGTGATCATTCAGACGTATTAATAAAAGATAGATAAAAGTTTTTTAAAGAAATTGAATCTCTATAAGATTTGTTTGTATTACAATTATAAAACGCGTATATATTTTCTCAAACTCCAAAAATTTATGGTTAATTATTATTCATCGATACGATCAAGTCACGTATAATTCATTGTTATTATTCGTTTATTGTGACATTTATGCACGTCTGTCACGCGTGAAGATACTTGTTTAAACAATTTATCATCGAAGAAAATTATTTTGCATTGAACGATAATCTAAATAATAAATGGAACAATTGTTTAACAAGGAAAAATTTACAAAACAATGGAATTTTTCAAAACAAAACCTTGAGAAAAGGTTATAAATATGTGTTTCATAATATATATTTGGGAGAAGTTATCTTCAAGAAGAAACAACAAGATTTCTTTACGTCCAAAAAATAAATATACGATACGATATTATTTTTAAAATTTTTTTACAATTTAATTATATAACATTTTTTTATAATTATCACATTATTATTAAACATATCTTATCATTGTGATATACCGTTTTTAGATTATTGTTTTTCATCTAATAAGATTTTATTACCGATTTAATACAGATTTTTATATTTGGTATACATCGATACGTCTCAATATAAATAAGAAATCAAAATATTCTAAAATATACATGTTAAATGACTGACTAATAAGTTATTATTGATAAAATATTTTTTAAGAAAGAAACTCAACACTAAATATTCGTTCCATTGAAAATAAATAATCGGACATAAAATAAGAAAATAGTAAAATTTCTTCCAATTTAAATAAATTTCAGTATTTATATTACTTTAATAAATATAAATAGTATAGAGATCATAAAAGTGTGAAAATATACGCAACTCCGAACTATAAACCGGTTCAAATAAAACGTGAAAGGCCACGAAGAATTAATCCGTTTTAAATATATTCAGATCAAGAAAATATAAAAGCGATATGCGTAATTCAATGATGATGAAAATAAAAGTAAAAAAAAAAAAAAAATTTTCGAATTTTCACAGAAACACTAATCACATTATTGAAAACACTTCTCCTCTATTTTGTTTGCTTCACAACAATAACGATAAGATGAGCTCGAGTGAAATAATTGTTTATTGCATCGGATAGACAATAGATGTGACTCGTATTGATAAAATGGTAAATCGGTGGCAGAGGGGATGATTGACCTTTGGATACAGTGAAAAGAGATTACGTAAATGACGTAAATGGTTTATATATTAGAGACACGAGTATTTTGCAACGTAGACTGACTATGATGCCCGCGATCGTGTTATTGTTGGCACTGTTCACGTTGGCAGCGGGTGAAATTGCCCACAATGACCCACATTTTGCTCCTGGCCACGACGCTATCGTCCATCTCTTCGAATGGAAATGGGACGACGTTGCGAAAGAGTGCGAACAATTCCTTGGACCTGTAGGCTTTGGTGGAGTCCAGGTATGTGATAAAATTTATTAATTTTTAATTGATTAATGATATTTTTATTTTTAAATTCAAAATGTTATTCAAATGTACGATAGTAAATATATTATAGTTGTATGAAAACAATTGATAAATACGTGATGTTTATTGAAGAGATATTTCATGAAGGTTCTTTAAAAATTTTAAATAAAATTTAGAGGAATATATTAAAAACATATTTTTACGTTTGTTTAATTTTTCGATTTAAATAAAATCCATATTTATTTAAATATTATATTATTTAAATTAATTCTTGAATTTAAACTTTAAACAAACTCCTAGAAAATAATGTGAATTAAAAATTTATTTGCATCAGATTTATTTCTTTAAAATGTCAATAACAATTAAAATCCGATATCAGAGATCATCAATGGGACTTATCTTTTAATCTTTACAATTAATTTACCTATTTACCATTAATGATTATCAATTAAATATTTCGTGTATTTGCAAAAATAATTCTATAATAAACTACCTTCTGTAAACAAACAAATATCTATCTATGCTTTATTATCAATTATCGATCTGAAACTCATTTATCTCAACAACATCACGAATTACGACAACAATTACGAATCCTCTCACTGGTCAATAGAAAATCAATAGAAATTCAAAGAAACCAAACTTACTAACCAAATTTATTCCATCGAACATTTTAAATAAAGCAAAGATAGAAGCATCGCTTCCACAACAATCGCTTTATCAACGCGACATGTACACATATTGCAACATTTGTATAGGTATCACCGGTACAAGAGAACATTGTGATCGACAAGAGGCCATGGTGGGAACGTTATCAACCGATTTCCTACAAATGGGTCACGCGATCTGGCACGCGAGAACAATTCATCGATATGGTGGCAAGATGCAACAAAGCGGGTGTACGGATTTATGTAGACGTTATAATGAACCATATGTCCGGTGATTGGAACGACGCACACGGAACAGGAAACTCGAGGGCGGACACGTACAACTTCGACTATCCGCAAGTGCCCTACACCGTCAAAAATTTCCACGCTCGTTGCGCAGTGAACAATTACAACGACCCGGCAAACGTGAGGAACTGCGAGTTGGTTGGTCTCCACGACTTGGATCAGAGCCAAGAGTACGTCAGGTCGAAGCTTGTTGATTTCCTCAACGATCTGGTCGCCGTTGGTGTTGCCGGTTTCCGGTTTGTATTCACATTTTGCACATTTTAATTGATAATAATAATAATAATATTGATGATACATATCGGTAATATCGAGTCGACAGGATCGACAGGTGTTAAAGAAGGGAACTTCTTGAACTTCAGAGTCGATGCTGCGAAACACATGTGGCCGAGCGATTTGAGAACGATTTACTCGAGAGTGAGGAACCTGAACACGACGCACGGTTTCCTTGAGAATGCACGGCCGTACATATTCCAAGAGGTGATCGATTATGGGAACGAGGCGATCTCGAAACGGGAGTACAACAAAATGGCGGCGGTGATCGAGTTCAAATACTCATATGAAATTTCCAATGCGTTTCGGGGGAACAATAATCTGAGATGGTTGGTGAACTGGGGAGAGCAATGGGGTTTTCTACCCTCCAAGGATTCTCTAGTTTTCGTGGACAATCACGACACGCAACGCGACAATCCTCAAATACTCACTTACAAATACTCCAAACGGTACAAGGTATATATAATCAAGCTTTTTTCCATATTTTCCTTTTTTTTTTCTTTTTCTTCTTCTTTTTTTTTTTTTTTAGAAACAATTTATTCCTAAATATTTATTATCTCATTATTGTTCAATGTTGCTCGATTAAAAGAATAGACAGAACGTGAATGTTTTTAGTATTTTTTACGGTAGAAGTATAAATATTTATTAGATTAGGGAATACAGCGACGGTACAGTGAAAGCTAGCAAGTAGAATAGATCAACCAGTGATCAGACTCAAATATTTCTCTCCATGTTTCGTGCAATACTACGTTAAATATCAATTGTAAAATTTTTTCCACGAAAATTCCGATTAATTTTAAGCACTAATGAAATTCTTGCATATACTTTTTATTCATCTTCTTTTTCAACTCTTATTTTCGAAAACTATTCCAAGGTTAATATTTCGAATAAAATATAATATTTTAGATGGCCGTCGCGTTCATGCTGTCCCATCCATTCGGCACCCCACGAATAATGAGCTCCTTCGACTTCGAAAGCAAGGATCAAGGACCGCCTAATGACGGCAATGGCAACATTCTGTCGCCTTTGATCCACGATAACATTTGCAGCAACGGATGGATCTGTGAACACCGTTGGAGGCAAATCTACAACATGGTTCGTTTCCGCAATTTGGTCGAAGGAACGAGGATCGATAATTGGTGGGATAACGGAAGCAATCAAATCGCATTCAGTCGGGGATGTTCCGGATTTGTCGCGTTCAACGGAGATCAATACGATCTGAGGCAAACTTTGAAAGTTTGTCTACCTCCTGGCCGCTATTGCGACGTGATTTCTGGCAATTTGGAGAACGGAAAATGCACCGGCAAGGTTGTCACTGTGCGATCGGATGGAAATGCTGATATAGAGATCGGCGCAGGAGAAGAGGATGGAGTTCTCGCCATTCACGTTGAGGTGAGTGAGTTTGAAACTTAAGATTAATAAGAATAAGAAATAAATGAGAGATTTTTGTCTTATATAAGTTCTTATATAAGTAGAAGAGAAAGTAAAAGTTTATCGAGATTTGTAATATTTTTATCGAGTATTGTAATATTTTTTTATGGATATTTTGATTTAGTTGTTTACTCTTTACTCAACTCAACGTTAATTCATAAATTATTATAATAAAATGTAATGATAAAGGAACGCTTGAAAATAATTTTATCTTCAGGCTAAAATGGCGTAAAGGAATCATAAGGCAGAGATTGCGATTGAACGAAGAAGAAAATTCTTAAAATTCATCTTACGACGAGAAAAGCTTGTATTTAATTCCTCGTAGAGCAAATAATTATATATATATAAATGTATACAGTTTATTTTTATTTCTATCACTTTCGTCAATCACGATTCTTTTCGTAATCCGCAAGGGTCTGTAACAAAAATAAGGCCACCAGTGAAAATATTTTTCAACAATGTTTATTTTAACAGAAACAATGTACTGTTCTTGTTCTCTTTTCACCATTAATTTCTACTATACATAATAAGACAGTTAATCAGTAGAATAATACACGACAGATTCGCGATGGGGGGAAATAAAAAAAGGGGATGTCGAAAGGATTTTTTTTTTCTTCCTCTTCTTCTTCTTCTTTTTCATTCGAGGATGAAGGAATAAACTAAGGACGCAGGCGTAAATCACAGAAGAAAACGAAGGATGGAGAAATGGGTGGAGAATAAAAATCATCGAAAGATTATCACAAGATTGCCTTATTGCCCGTTTCTTTATCCCTCTTTTTCTCCAAAATTGTCGTCCCTTTCTGTACAATTATTCTCATATTTCTTTTTCTTTTTCTTTTTTCTTCGTTTTAAATAATTTCCACGTCACGCCAGTACGAATTTTTCCTTTCATTTCTCTATTCTCCTCTGTTTTCTTTCTTTTTTTTTTTTTGTTTTTTATTTCCTTCCTTAATACAAATGCACGCATACTCTTCCCGTGTTCGCACACCTGACAATTAAATGATCTCGTGCTATGCACGCGGTAATGATGTGCGTAAACCTTTTGCTACGAAACTAAATAAAATACTACGGGTCCTTTTGTAAAAGCACGATATAAATAAATGCTTAAGCATTATGTACAGTGATTCTCGGTTTAAGTAAAAGCCGCTAGCTCGGTTAATGTCCGCTCGTACTGTCCAGAATTTTTCTTTTCTTTTCATATATCTATACGTACGTTAATTTTCTGTACGTTAAAATGTTATTAAATTTTCTGCGAGTTCTATGGAAAATTTTTAAAAGATTTTATACACCAATTATATACACACAAAATGAAGATGATTGAAATCATGAAAAGTTGAAGTTTGAAAAATTTATTCAAAAATCATTTGAGTGAATTGAATTCGATTATGAAATATCGAAATATCGAAAAATCGAAATAAATTTGTTAAAATTGTTTTCCATAAGCAAGAGTACAAGCAAAAGTACAAAACTGGAAGCACGAGCAGATGTGCGCGCGAGACCGCGCTTGTAAGTGTATGTATGTGTGTTTGTGTATGTATGTGTGTATGTGTATACATAATATTTATAAACGTATATAGTCTGCAGTAAATTCAGGCTAATGTAAATCTAAAAATACTGCTCGTCTTACGAACTTATCAACTCTCCACTTAATAACAACTGTCGCACGCCCAAGTGCTTTATCTCCTCTTTTATAAAGACTAAATTGTTATTACATGAACATACAATAAGGCAACGGTTTTAATGCTAAATAAATAAACGTTAAACGTTGAAAATAAGGGAGGAAGAAAAATTAATTTACAGTTTTCCTTTTTTCTCTAATTTCTACGATCTGGATCCGTCGATCACGTTAAATCTACATCGTGTATCGCCTTCTTTCCAATTCGTCTCTTAATGTTTGTTTATACATGTGTGTGTATGTGTGTGTGTTTGCGTACGCATGCATACGCTTGTGTGTTTGTGTATGTGTATGTGTACATTACATTTACACTACGGTATGCGAATGTATCCGCGCGTGATGATCTTCTTCTTCGCGTGTGATCTGCACGTAGAACGTTAGCAAAAATATAATTTAGTTATACTTTATCATTATAATTCATTCATATAAAAACTTCGTTAAAATATATAAAAGAAACAACGATTTGAGCAAATACGTATATCATCCTATCCATACAGTTAAAAAGTACCGCGTTGAAAAAACGTTCATTTTCATCATTATTGCACATTAATTGTTTTTTTTTTTTTTTCCTTTCTTTTCATTTTCCTCTTTCGCTGATATGATGTTGTCTCGTTTCGTTTTTCTTTCTCTCTCTCTCTCTCTCTCTCTCTCTCTCTCTCTTGCTTTCTCTCTTCAATTCACTCGATCCTTACACGCAATCGTTTCTCGTTCACTCATCTTTTACATACTCTCAAATAACAATTGCTCGCAGTTTATTTAATTACAAACAGTTATTTACTGTTTCCTCGTGTTATTTATCATCGTTTTCATTGTTTCCACTTCTTCATTCGATAATGAAGAATTGAGAATTCGTTACTCGACACTTTTCTGTTTTCTGTCGTTGTTAGTGTTCCAGTGAAATTATTCGAATTCATTTTGAACGAATGATCGATTGTTTAAAATGAACCTGATATTCTTAAATTTATTTTATCTTAGAAGTGTTTAAATTTGTTTAAAAAATTTAAAAATAATTTTCATTGCATTGTTATTATATAGTTAATTATTATTAGTTTCAAAGCAAATGTATTTTTTATCATCGTAATTCAAGTTAAAATGAAAAGTGCCGTGGAGTAATAATTATTGCTGCTATATTTGAGTAGCATAAATAAATTCATTTGCTTTATAATTTAAATTTTTCGAATTTATCATGTGAAAGAATTCGAATAATTACTTTGTTGGTACAATCCAGATAGCACCGGATATCTGATATCCATTTTAAATTTAATGATAACATGAATTTAAAGATGCCTTGAGGTAATTAAAATTGTATTATAATTACTTTGATTCGTTACATTAGTACGATACTTTTTTTTTAATAAGAAAAAACTGAATGAATACGTATGTAGAAATACGTAAATTAGGATCGGTGGCGCACTCTAGCGGATATAATTATTACACGAATAAAGAAATAAAGTAATCATATGCACATTCTTTTTCAAATTCTTGGTATGGAACTACAGATAAAATCTGTGGAATAACTGTTCTAAATATTCTGTTTTGCAATACGAAACAATTTTAAAACACGTTCAAACTGTTAATAGATTATTTTACCACACATCTTTAAGACAATAAGACATCTCTGTGCTATCTGTAAATGAACTTCTCTCTACGAAATCTCTGTTCTCAGGTAACAAGGGGCAGCATTGCTTGAAATCGCAAATTCTGCACGTTAAAAGAATCACCTCGTTCTCGTTATCTCATCCATCTAAGAAAGGCTATCCTTTTGGAAGACTTTTTCGATCGATAGAGGCACTCGTTTTTTTTTTTATCAATATATATATATATATATAAATATATATAAGAAAAAAAAAATCTCCATTATAATAATTAATTCATCGCTTAGAACTTCGATTCGCGCGGTAATTATTCTAAAACGTTAATTTCCTTCGCCAAGGAAGACATTCCCGAAGAATTCAAGGCCGTTAATATCGCGTGAAACCGATGTAGTACCTTGACACGCTAATTGCTTACGAAGGATCGAACACGTAGCTTCCGGTTGCTGATTTTCTTTCTTTCTTCTTCTTCTTCTTTTTTTCCTTTCCTCTTTTATCGAAGGATGTGTAATTTGAATAAGCACGTAAACGAGGCGTTCTAATCGCTAATTGCCATCCCAATTAATTTGATTATCACGCAGCGTCAGCTTCTTTGTGCTCATCGCGTGTCTATTCCTAATTTATAAACGCGAGAACGTTAACACTTGTTAGTCACCCTCCACTTCCTTCTAGGCGAGGAGAACTCGTGAAAGCCCGGCCAGCTGGTACAAGTCTCTTAACGACTTGTAAAAAAAAATAACGAACTAGAAAGTATCAAGTGTCGAGAATTGTACCTCTGGGAGGGGGGGGGGGAGGAGAAAGGGGGTTCTCTTTTCTTAAATAAATTTTATGATCTGGCTGATTCCACATTCGTCTCCGAATTTCAGGCACTGAGTATCGTTCCGAGCCTCTCGTTTCTTCCCTTCGACGAAAGACAATAATAATAATAAAATTATCGATCGAACGATGATGAAACATCGCGTTTCAAGTTCGATCCGAAATTGAATTTTCGAGTCGAACTTTCGAACGATACCAGGTGGACAAGAAGTTCGTACGTTGATTTACGGAATGAGATGAAGAAAATGCTCAATCGTGTGATAAATTCGTATCGAGTCGATAGAATGGCTAATAAAAAGAAAAATTATCGTTATTTCAAATCGATTCGAATTACAGAGAAATAAATTACACAGAATATAAATAAACGAAGCAATAAGAAACAAAGAAAAGATACCACGACTTCTTATCCACAACTCCAAGTTCAACCATCGAAATCCTTCGTAATTCATCCTAGACGCAATGCCCCCTCCCCCAATCATCCCCCTTCTCAAAGAACCGCCTATTCCCACCCCCCTATTATTTCACACGAATCGATCCAGCCGTATAACACAAGTTAAGTACGTAAGTACAACGAAGGTAAAAATTCTGCCTCGAGGACAAAAGTAAGTCATTTATCTCCAGGTACTCTTAATTAATCGTATCAATACACGAAACTCTTGATCGTCGTCGAACGTCGTCCCCCCACCCCATCCCCCCCCTCCCCCCGATGAACGAACACTCGATGGACAACACACAGGCGGAGCCTCCACAGCGTCACGTGTGCACACGCAAAGCGATGCTGTCGCGTGATCCGCGTCACTGCTTGATGGGCTTCTTGAACACCACTTCCGGCTTGCGTATCGGGCGTGACACGCGCCGTTCTATCCTTAGGGCCCTGTTCGGGTCCTGGGAGGGCGCCACAGTGCCCTCCGGGCCCAGAGGAGTCTCCGCCATTGTTTGTCAGTTCCCCGTGCTGCTTGGCCGCCTTCCAGGCAACTGTTGCTGCTGCGGTTGCTGCTGGTGTTGCTGTTGCGACGCGGCGGCGGCAGCCGCGGCCGCGTTCAGGGCCGGCAGGGGCGTCTGGTGGCAGTGCGCGCAGTGCAAGCAGACCGTGCACGCGCCCAATTTCCGGGCGAGGAGGGCGCGAAGCTTCAGGGCTGGGCCCAGCTTCATTCCCATTGGGCCGGTCAGGTGGTCCTCCGAGAGAAGGGGCAACGCTGCTCCATCGATCCGGTGCTCGCGGAAATTCTGGAAAAGAGGGGTGGAACGGATTCGTTAGTTTTTTGGCGATCTTGATTTCTTCACGCGGGGGAAGAAAATTTAACGTGGACGATGTTTGTCGAAGGTTTAAATGGACGTGTGAGGTGTAGAATGGAGAGGTATAGAAATGTTTATCATGGAATTTTAGTATTTTTTTTTTTTTTTTTAATTAAGAGATTGCAAGAGATGTTTTTTGTTGGTCGGAAGAAAATCAATGTATTTTAGAAACTGTAGTCTTTACTCGATCAAAATTATTAGTTTTAATGATCTTTTCACAACGAGATTTCAATATATTTTTATAAAACTTCATTTTAGCGTGAAGAAATTCTTCGAATGCAGCTTCTCGAATATCGAATGTATTATTTTTTAAAAATGTAAATGGAAACAACAAGTGATAATAAGATTGGTGAAATATCTGGTGATGAGTTAAGATTTCATATTTTGATTTATCTAATTTTTGTAGAGTGATTTCCGATGGTATGCGGTCGTTGTCGTGCAGAATTATTTCTTAATTAATTTCTTGGCAGTAGGATGTTGCTGTTACGGTATCTCCTTGTTTCAGAAAAGAACAATAAATTCCCTTTACAAATCATCATATAATCACCATAACTTTTTCGATCATAATGATGATTTAGAATTTTATTTAGGATTTTTCATTGGCATCATTGTCCAGATCATTGTACGATTATCGTATAGTATCCATTTCTCATCACAGATTATAATTCTATTCAAGAATGGACTATTGTTTCGAGCTTTATGCAATAAGCACACTTCTAAACTTTTGATTCTCTGTCAGTTGGTGCAATATCTTCCTCCTATTTTTTCCACTTTATCCATTGCATCCAAATGTCATTTAGAGATACATGTAATTCTGCGGATTTTTGTAGCTTTCAATTTATCTTTGTTTAATATAAATTTTCAGACCTTATATTTTTAAAACCATACAATCTTCTCTGAAAACTAACCTAATATGTTTCGATTGCACTGCTTAATCTAGCTTAAACTCATACAAAAATATTCTAAATTCCTTCACTTCTCAAAAAAAAAAAAAAAAAAACAGTTAAACTTACATACAAAAAAGAACTTATTACACAAATGAAATAAATAAAAGAACAATATCAAAATATACTGAGCAAACTATAAGTTAAGTAACATTATCTTACGAGTCTCGATTGATCGATCATTTGTCCTAAAACAATTGGCAATTTCATGTGTACAATACAACCTAAATATAATTACCTAATGTTAAGAAGTTATCTGATACGTGAAAGTTAAATGCGAATCTAAGTTTAAACAAGACGTCCAATAATATCCAAAAAAAAAAAAGATGAAACACCCGACCAATTAAAGCGATTCATCCCACTCTTCCTGCTCATTCACAAAGCGTTAACAATGACACCCACGCGAATCACCCACCGCTTGTCTCTGAATCACGCGAGCCCACGCGTATATTCCTGAATCGCGTGACGTGACCCCCGACCCGGCTCGAAGGTCGCCCGTTCCTCGCGGGATCTCTAGGCGTCCTCACCGGCGTGGAACGCCGCGGCGCTCCCTCATTAAATCTCCGTTCCGCAAAAAGTCGCTACGAGTCGAGCTACCCGCTACCCGAGGATAGAATCGTGGCGAGGAGGCGGAACGGGAGGAAGGAGGCGGAAGAAGAAGAGGAGGAGCAGGAGGAGCAGGAGGAGGAGGAGGAGGAGGAGGAACGAAAAAAAGAAGAAGAGAAAAAAGGACGGACGTTTCATTCACGGAGGCCGCCGCACGATCCCCGTAATTGCCGCTGCAACCGGCGCGCGATTTACCCCCGCTTGCGCGCGGCCACTCACTCACACTACGCCGTACTACGATTCGTTGCCGTGCGCGCGCGCGCGCTTTCTTGCAGAGAAATACGTTGATCGCTCGATTATGAATGAAATATTCAACGTTCTAACGCGATCTCCGCACGCGAACCACGGGCAGACCGGTCTTCGTCCTCGTGCATCCTCTTTGAATCGTTCTCTCTGGTCTTCTCAAACGAGATCTGGGATCATCGGGTGTAAATCGAGGTTTTGATACGAGGTATGTTTGAAGTTTAGCATTTTGTATGACTTTCTTTCTTCTTTTTTTTTTTTTTTTTTTTTTTTTATTTTGATATTTTGGTTTTGATTCTCGTCTTCTGATTTTTCTGAGCGGAGTTGGAATGGGTTGCTTTGGAATGTGTGAAATGCGAATGATGGTTTTGGTAAAGGTGTTTGATGGAGGTAGATGGAGGGCGAAGAGTAATGATGGTTTCAGGTGGTTTCGTAATGGTAAGGTTTCAGATGTTGGGTATGCGAAATTATCGTGCAGATATATGTATTGCGATATAAATGGACTCTGGACGTATTTCAGATTAATTTTTTCTTTCCTCCATGTTGTTCGTCGTGTTCATCGTCGTGTAGATATTAGAAACGTTTGGTACCATATGATACCTATGAATTCAGATAAAAATAATTTTAATCTATTTAATACCCTTAATGAAACAATGTTCAAGAATAAAGCAATTGGAATTATTATATTGTACATTACAAAAGACATAGCATAATCTTACGATCTTCATCAGATTATGTCATTGTTCTTCTTTACCGACGATATACCTTATTCACAAAAAAATACCAGAAAATTTCTGCTAACATATCTTCTGCTTTAATTCCAACTTTCAAAAGATATTAACCATCGCATAATTTCCTACAATTCTAGCCTCCAGCATCCCGGCCCGCGTTCTTAACACAGTCACAACAAGGCGAGCAAACGGATCTCGAAACTTATCCCTCTTCAGCCGGCTTGCTGACTAATTACAAGAAGAGGACAAGAAGGAGGATCAACGAACTTGCACAAATTATCCCGTGCCGCGATTCTCGCTTTACACGCCGTTTACTCGCGTGAACCTCGCGGCACTGCTAATTATCCCGTTTCTCCCTTGCAGCTGACACCAGTGGTCGCGCGAGAAACGGCCACGAGGAACACAGAGCCATCTATCACGCGCCGACACGGCCGACATTGTTTCGAATTTCCGATAGCGACGCTAACGGTACACGAACGCGATCAAGCGTAAGAATGGAAGCTACTTTCATCTACCGCTCTTTTCACGTTAAACGTTAATTAACCGAGTAGTTAGCTGGAAGAAGATGAAAAACACGGGTCATGACATCGTTGTTGAACGCGAGTGAGAAGATCTTTTCACGCTTCTTTACGTACGATGGCTTTTTGCACCCAAGGGGTCAGAAATAAAGAAAAGAAAAAAGAGAGACTTTGAGAAAGACCTTTTTTTTAAAGGTTTATGAATTTTACGGGATACATATAATTTAAAATCGAAGATTTGATTTGAATTTATAAAGTTTAAAAATTGGTAAAAGTTTAACAAGAAAGAATAATTTCGTGGACGATTGCATTTACTACAACATTCGTTGGAATAGAGGATTTATGATAATTGCTGTAATTCATTAGCATACTGAAGCTAGGAGAGGTTGGAAATTCTTTTTTTAAAGACAGCATAACACATATTTCCGCACATTAATTGCTAATGTTTTTTTCTATCTTTTGAATTCAATGATAAATAAAAAATGGCAGAAGAGAAAATTGAATTAATAAGGAAGTTACTTTTCAATCTTCCTAACTTTTTCTCGTGAAATAATAAAATCTAATACAATCTTCATCATCCCTCGAGGTACATTCATAAAAATACTACATTACCAACAGAAATTAGCTAACGAAAACTGCATCTGCATTACCAACCGCGACTCACGTGAATTAAACTCTGAAATTATTTTGTTATTAAATCTTATATACGCACATATATATCAGACTCACGTGAGACAAAATTATAACGCGTATCCTCTATGTGAACCGTATTCCTTCCAAAATGGATGCCTGCGTTGTGTTTTTGCCATGCGTTTAAAGATCGTAGAGAAATCGTCGAGCTGTATCGAGATTGTTGCTACAAGAAAAAGGCGTATTTTTATTATATAAATTGCCATACGGAATAGAACGTTGCTACGGAAGGGTAGGCTTCTGCTCGAGATCTCTTAGCTGATTATTATGAATTACCACTCTGAAATCAGAGTATCAATTATGCCTGTGAGCCGTGGCGCCCCCAAGTAGCACGAAATTATAGTGCACGATGTCTCCTCGTTGATCGAACCGGGCTTTTTGCGGTATGCAACGCTTGCGTGGAAATCGTCGAGGTGTGCGCGCCAAGGAGTACGTTCCATTTCATTAAAATGTATTTAGGATAAAATGTTGCACCCGGAACAAGGGTACATTTCTTTGATCCGTTGATGAGCACGAATTAAAACCAATGTTTTTTGCACGCCTTGCCATCAAAGGATTACATGATTGAGGTTAGGTTTCGTTACACTGCAAATATCTCGTCATAGAAATTCCTTAATGTAAAAGAGACTTTTCTTTCACGGATTTAGAGAAAAATTTTCGAGAACTAATGTTAATTTTAGAATAAGGAACATTTTTTTTTTTTCTTTTAACAAATAAATCTTAACTTCGTTGAGAAACAAATTCTAAATTCGATGAAGAAATTTCGTCGAAGGAAGACGATTTCTTCGCGTTAATAATCTAAGAGAGAAGAAAGAGACGGGAGGAAATGACTCATAAAAAGGTTTCGAGGACAAGTTGACAGGAGGTCCTTCCCAGGGGCACACGTTCAGAGATGGCGGGATCCACGGGGATCTCATCTCGGCGCATACATCTCATTGTCTTCGAGGAGGGATACAAGGCAGAAGTTTCGTAATCTCACAAAACCTCGAGCCAACAGCGGTGTGGTGCAGCTGCAGTTGCAGAGAATATATCATCCTCGTGTTGCACCGCGGGCGACCGCGGCCCTCCAAAGGCCCAGCCACGAAGACAACCTATATTTTCTCCACCCAGTTCCAAACTCTTAAGGGCAAACGCGATCCCAGACTGGGTCCAGCATCAATTATACCTTCCACAAACACGCTCTTATCTCTCGCGCTTGC